CCAGGAGGTCTCCCATCCAGGTACTGACCAGGCTCACACCTGCTTAGCTTCAGTGGGTTGCCAGTTGTGAGTTGCAGGGTGATATGGCTGCTGGATGATACAGCACCGCACGTGATATAAACACGCGTGAATGAAAGCATAAGAAGAGTTGTTGGCACTCGATTAAGATTTCTCGATGGTGTCTGTAAGATCAAACTTACCGCTTCTCTGAGCGTGAGGACGTTTACACAGCTGCGTCCGCGTTCCTGCAACGAGCATATATTTGTCTACAAGTCAACTGTTTTAGTTAACGATACAGTTACAGAACGTTTCATATTAAAATTAAACTTAAAAAAAACCTCACCTGGGGGTGGGAACACGCATTCCCTGGACAGGAAGAGAACAGATTTCTTTAGGTCGGGACTCTCGGGCAGTGACGAGGCGCAGACAGGCGGCGTGAACGGGTCACCAGCGAGGCTCGCAGTTCGCCAGGCTGGGCGCTAGGTGGCAGCAAAGCTCTGTATTCCATGTGGTTGTGGCGCAGCTGGTGAGCTCCTGCACTTCAAACCTGGGGGAGAGACGCACAACAACACAACTGGTGTTGATCTGCACCGGGCACGTTAAAATGAGCGCCCCTCCCCCTGACTTTCTCAAGAAAAAAAAATAAAATGGCTTTTGACTCTTATTTTTCATGAGTACCCTCGAGAGTGTCTTCTGAGCGAGCAGGAGCACCAGGGCGGCGCTGGGACGCCGCGCTGGCCCAGCTCTGTCACTCCTATCACGTGGCCCTGGAGCCGGGGACCAGGCTGCACGAGTCCCTCTGGGGGCCCGGCCTGGACACCAGAACTCACCCTTCCGCTGTCTCTCCTGCGCCAGGCTGCAGCCTGCAGGCCTGTGCCACGGGTCACAGTGCTGGGTGTGCGAGTGTGCGAGTGAGTGTGCACATGTGTACGAGTGTGCGAGTGTCTGAGTGTGCATGTGTGAATGTGTGTGTGTTAGTGTGTGCATGTTTGCGAGTGTGTGTGTAAGTGTGAGAGTGAGTGTGTGTGTTAGTGAATGTGTGTGTTAGTGTGATTGTGTCTGAGGGTGTGTGTTAGTGAGTGTGTAAGTGTGATTGTGTTTGAGGGCACACACCTGTGGCTGTTGGCTTCTGTGAGGCGGGATGTTGGGGTTCATGCCCAGTCACAGGTAAAAGTGTGCAGCTGGGCCACGGGCAACGTGGGGGTACCCCTTCATAAAGAAACAGCTCTGGGAGGGGAGATCTCCTGCATGTGGAGCAGGGTGTAGCTGCACTGCTTTATTGACCCTGCCAGAAATACTCACTGCTGCCCACATCACAGGCCCAGCTGGAGGAGCCTCCATCTGGAAGGAACAGCAGCAGCCTGTGAAAAAGACACAGAAAGAAAAAGTACAGGCAGAGCGAGAACTCAGTTTAGAGCTGAGGGACTGGGAAGAGGCAGTGTGGGCCAGTGGTCAGAGCTGAGAGAGAGAGAGGCAGTGTGGGCCAGTGGTCAGAGCTGAG